CTGATTGATAATGCCCTCGTAGGCCTGCACCTGAAATACAAGCTTACCGATAACGTAACACTGAAAGGTTTTACAGGTCAGCAAAAGGCACTTCGCCAGGGCTCTGTAAGCGGGCGCTTTGATCCGGTGATCAAAGGAGTGAATGCAGAAGGTGATTTTAGCGTAGGTAAAGCGCATATCATACCGGGTATCGGCGCCATCAACCGTACGCTGGATAAAAACTCGCTCGACGCGGTGAAGAGCACCATAGAATCCATCCCGGATCTCTCCCAGAGATTTGTGCCAAGGTATAATATGTATGCATTCACGGCCTACAATACCCTGACCATCGGTAATCTCTCCTGGTTTGCAGAAGGATCTTACAAAACACATGAGGCGATAGATGTCAATGGAACATTGATGGATAAAGCAGGAAGTGTTGTCTATTCTACATTAGGCTATGCACGCAAAGGCCTGGCCGTTAACCTGAGCGGAAAACGTACGGAGAACTATGCCATGCGCACGTCACCTAAAGAAACACAGCTGTACGGTATGCTGAACTGGCAGCCGATGGTGGCCCGCCTGCGTCCGCAACGCCTGATGGCCCGTTATACACCTGCAACCCAGGATATATCTGAACTGGCAGGAGGCATCGATGTACTGGTATCGCCAAACGATAACCTGGACTTTACTTTAAACTACACGCATATCAATACACTGGGTGATGTAAAGCTGTACCGCGAAGCCTATGCGGAAGTACAATACCGCTCTGATGAGAAATGGCGCGTAATGGGTGGTGTGCAATATATGGAGTACAACCAGGAAATCTACCAGCTGAAACCCAAGTATGATATTGTAAAAGCGATCACACCTTTTGCGGAAGTAACGTACCTGATCACGCCTAAGAAATCAATCCGTGTGGAAGTAGAGTACCAGCACACTGAGCAGGATTTTGGTTCCTGGGCATACATCCTTGCTGAGTATAATATTGCACCGCGCTGGTCGTTCACCGTGGCCGATATGATCAATATGGATCCCAAGACCGCAGGTATCAGCAAAGGCACGAAGGCACAACACTATCCCAATGTATTCCTGGCGCATACGCAAGGACCTCACCGTTTTTCAATTGCTTATGTGAAACAGACGGAAGGTATCAACTGCACCGGCGGTGTTTGCCGTTATGAGCCGGCCTTTAGTGGGGTAAGAATCGGGGTTAACTCATCATTCTAAAAAACAATCAGGCTTCGTAGCAGACCTGCGAATAGCCTACATCGCCCGGCACGGGCGGATGCATCTTACGAATCGCCACGCGGACTATAGCTCCTGCTGGCGATTCTGCTTTTATAGCTGTATGAACTTTCTTTACCAGGGTTTCCAGCAACTTCGTGGGGCTGATGAAAATATCATGGACCGCTTTATTGATCATGCCGTAATCGATAAACGGCCATT